CTCCACTAACCGACTCAAACAAAGTGCAAAGTGTAATTTCGTGGATTAGCACCTTATTCACATTTTTCTAAGTAACTAAGATTGGGTATTATTAAAAGTTTAGTTACTTAGTATTTATCATTAATACTTTTAATGAAGGGAGAATTATAGTCATGTCAAACCCGTTCGGCTAACGACCCTCCACCAGTCAAGCGAGCGGTGGGTGAGAGTGAACACCCATTAAGTTGCCATTTTATAGGCAACAACCTTATACCCACCTTATAGACCGGCTTCGTGAATGAGGCGTACTAGCGGTAAGACCGACTTTACTCTTATACATATAAATATTATTAACTTATAATATTATAAAGTATAAGGGTTGAATTTTAACTTTTAAAATTCTAAGGGCTAACTTGGAATTAAAGTATTCATAAGAGAAAACTTTACAAATTCCAAAACTTGAGGGCAAGTTTTGAAACTATTCAAAACTAATTAATTCCATAACTTATGTATTTAAAGTAGTTTTAATCCAAAAACTCTTCAAGTTCCATAACTTGTGGACAAATTATGGAAGACTTTAAACTAATAAAGAATTAATCTTTTCTTTATTTTATAACTTATGGAATTAATTAAGGTTACATATTTTATTTATTTATTTATTAATGAAGTGACTCTTGAACCTCCATAACTTAAGGACAAGACTCTTCATCTTTTGTAACCTTTGCCAACTTTATGAGTTTTATGAGTCTTTAATGTGACTCTTCATGTAACTTAAGGATAAGTTACACAAACACATTTTATACTCAACTCTTAGATTAATTTGGATTGAAAACAACTTTTTCACTCAACTTTTCTATTAATCTAAGCAACTCATAAGAACAAGATAATTCAAATCAAACTTTTTCATGTAATTAGTCTAACCTTTAAACTAATACAAAACATGAATCTATTGACAATTATCTTTGAAAATGGATTAGCATGAACATTACCACATTTAAAAACAAGTTTATAAGTTCAAAACAACTTAGGGTAATGTTCCTAGTCCATTTCTAGCCAAAAACCTCGAAGATATGCTGTCTGGGGTCCAACTCGTCGAGTGCATGAACACAACTCGGCGAGTTGGATGCATTTTGCCTTGGACTCGTCGAGTCCCTTCATGGACTCGGCGAGTCAGCTGGGCTGACAGCATCAAAACTCGATTTTTTCAGCTTCTATTGCAGGTATAACAAGAAAACAAGCCTAGGCTCTGATACCACTGTTGGGTTATGAGCATTCTAAACTCCTAAGTGTACATGCAACCCTAAATACCTTGGATCTATGTTTTCTCTATTATACATGCAAATATGAACATCCAAGGTATTATCCTAATCTAGCATACAAAATAATGGATATATCAAGATAGAATACATACCTCATTGATAGTGCTTGTCTTCATGAAGCTTGAGTGCTTAGTGCCCCAAGTGTGACACCTCAAATGGTTCACACAACACCATAAGCACTTGGAATAACTTAGAGAGAAATTAGAACACTTCATGAAATCGTGTAGCCCTCATACATACACATAGTGTTAGTCATAGTCCGATTTCTTGAGCCATGGGTTTCTTTTATATGGTGGCTATTAGGGTTACACCATGTAACTCATGACTTTACCCATTCCTTATGCTCCATGGATTTTAACCTCCATGGAGTATCCATGGGTCACCCCATGGACTTAGTCCAACATAAGGAATCTTGGATCACAAGCCCACATATATAAGAATGAATGATTTACACAATCAACCCATATATTTAATTAGTCTTCTTTTGATCACTTAATTAATTCTAGATTAATTCTTGATCAATACTAATTAAATAATCTCATTATTCTTATTATTAATATACTAGAACTTATAATATATTAATAACCATAAGTGTCTTATTTCTCTCATTATAGTCTATCCAAGTGCATGATGCCATGCAACCCAAATGGACCATGCCGGGTCGGGTCAAGTCTTACCAATTATAGTTATGGACTTAGACATTAATCCAACAGTTTGGTGATGAAGTCCATGGTGATATCTTCCCATTTCCACATGGGAATATCCAACGACTGCATCTTGCCGTGTGGCCTCAGATGTTCGGCTTTGACCTTCTTGCAGGTCAAGCACCGCTCCACATACCATGCTACGTCACGCTTCATGCAGGGCCACTAATAGTCAAGACGAAGATCCCTATACATCTTCGTCGCCCTGGGATGGATAGAAAACCTGGATTTGTGCGCCTCCTCCATCAATTTATAATGCACGCCTCCATGATATGGGACCCACACCCTACTGTGGAGGGTCAACAACCCTCGGCTATCATAGTCGAAAGAGGAAACCTGACCCATAATACGCTTGCTCTTCCGATTTTCCTCCTTCATAGCCTCCTGTTGGGCCTCTCGGATCTGCTCCAGCAACAGAGTCACCACGGTCATCCGCATGCAGATATCCCTAATCGGTGCTGCCTTGCGGCTAAGCGCATCGACCACCACATCGGCCATCACTAGTCTTAGGAGGAGGTTTAGGGTACAAAGAAAGGCCAAAGCTTGATAAAATCGAGAACTTTATGTCCATGAGAGCCTAAAGGAGTCCAGATCTGAACTCTTCACTTCAAAATGTGCTCAAAACTAGAAATGCCTCGAGAATAAGCTAGAAATGACCGTAAACATGAATGCCCAAACGAAGTAGATAATGGATTTACAAGCTCCTTCTCATTCCAAGCTTTTCAATATTCAAGTCTCTTCAAGAAATGCACCAAACACACACTCTTTAGCCTCACAGACACTAAAAATAGGTGTTAGCTCGATTAGGGTTTGTTTATAAACATGAAGGTGATAAGGGAGGCTGGAGGAAGGACTTAATATCCTTTAAATAGGGTGCAAACCCTAAAAATTAGGGTTTTCAAGCATAGCCTCAACTCGTCGAGTAGGTCCTAAAGCTTACGTGGCATGATTAGTTTCTACACAACGAGTTGGGGCAGCCAACTCGTCGAGTAGATCTAAAAATATGAATATAAAAGCTTCAAATATATACTTGGAAGTCGGGATGTTACATTTCATGGCTAAGTCATCTTCTTGATGAATTAGGAATTGAAGAATTTACTCCTATACCCCTTAAATGTGACAACATGGCTGCAATATACATTGCCTCAAATATGGTATTTCATGAGTGTACGAAACACATTGAAATTGATTGTCACTTCATACGAAACAAAGTCCAAGAAGGGTTAATTTGGGTGTCTCATGTTGATACTTTTAAACAGTTAGCAAATATTCTTACAAAACAAGTTCCAAGTTCTCGACATATACAAGCAACATTCAAGCTTTGTTTAATTAATGGTCACAAGCTTGAAGGGGGTGTTAACTAACAAGATCAGTTGGAGTTAGTTAGAACGTTTTCTGTTAGAAAGGGCATTTCTGTAATTTTGTTAGTTATTCAGTTAGATTTGTTTCTTCTGTATATATGTATCATAGCTTGTAGTTTGTATTGATTAAGTTGAAGAAATAAGAACATAAAATCATGAATCTCTCTCTCTCTCTCTCTCTCTCTCACACACACACACAATTTTACTTTCTCTCACCTCTAACAGAACGTGAAAGAAAACGACAATAATTTTGCCAACCTATGTACAAATCTACGCATGTTGTGTGTATGAAAAGGTGGAACTTTACCACCCGAAACAAACATCTGACCTCCCTTTGAAAAACTCTAAATAGAACATTTGAAATTAGAAATATGAATAATATTATTTCAAAAAAGAACCCTCACGAATCCCGTAAACAACTCCCATGAATTGGCAATATCACTTTTTTCAAAAATTAGATTCAATAAGTTTTTAGATAATGCCAACCTTTCATCGTGCAAATTCAACAAATAATAATCGTGAAGTGGCCTAGTAACATGTTAAATGGTCAAATTTAGATAAATAATAATAATAATAATAACTAGATATGTTGCCCATGCTCAGTATGGACCGTATGCATCTGATTTGAGTGTTGTTTTTGTTTGTAGATTAACGGGCGTCGTTGTTGATTCTTTTATTTGACTTTGTATTATTTTTATATAGATAAATAGTCGGCGACGGATAGATAAATGGTAGGAAAAAAACAAAAAGTTAAATATGAGAACCAATATACAAAAAATATACAAAAAGAAGAAAATAACAGATACAGAAAGTGCAAGGATGAAAACAATTAAAAAAAAACGTGATTTTCACTATTCCTAACTCGTTGTTAACTCTTTTAGCGAAAAAAACCCGGGCTTTGCCCTAGGCCATTTTTTTGTGTTTTTTATGAAAAAATGTAAAAGTTTTGACTGTAAGGACCAAAAGTATCAAAATGACTAAAAAATTAAATGGGTTGGAATTAGCAAGTTTTAGAAAATGGATCAAAAGTTTTACTATTCTTAACTTTAAACATCTTTAATATATATATATATATATATATATATATATATATATATATATATATATATATATATATATATATATATATATAATAATAATAATAATAAAATTATGATGACTTTTTAGTAGGAAAATAAAATTATGGGTAAAGGATGAAAAAAAAAAAGTTATGTCTAAAATGAAATATTTTATAAGAGGGTAGTTATTTCACCGTTTGCTCTTAAATATTACTACATATTTTGGTAAAAGAATATCACATAACTATATATTTAGTCTAAAAATTACCTGTATGCCATAAAATATAGCAAAAGATGAAATTTTATTATACAAACAAATAAATTATAAATACTAGTATTAAACAAACAATTGTCTGTGTTTGTGAACACCACGTGTAACTTTATGCTATATCACTTGTAAAAAACGTCATAACAATCTTATTTTATAGAAACCTATGTATGTCTTTGTGTCTAATATTTTATAATAAAATCATAAAAAATTAAAATAAAAAACAATCAATTCAAGTCTCATACGTGTTAAGCAATATGTGGAAGACTATAGCAAGAGAAAAGGATCTTGTCAATGTATGCTTGTAATGTGTCCAAATATGACAGTATGACATGTCATCGTGACTCAAATTAGCCACTATTTTCAGCCTTGATTTACCCGATACGCATCGTCATCATTAATTATGCACTTTCCATTACCAAAACCCTCTCGCTGCTCCTACAAATCACTCTCTCACTCGGGTTTTTGCAAGCAGAGGGTTTCGAGTTTACACAAACAGATCGTCAAGTCAAAGAGAAAATGTCTCTACTTCGGCTCTGCAAAGGAGTCAACCCAAATGTTTCTCGTAAAACAGCTTCAGATTATTTTTCTTCACTCAGATTCTCGAGGTAATGTCGACATTTAATTTTATTTCAATGATTGTTGCATGCGATGAATACGTTTTTTCTCTTTCTCCCTTTTTTTTTTTCTATGGATTTTGCGATTTTAATAGTCCGATTGTATTCTGTTTCTTTTTTTTCCCTATCAATGTGATTCGATAATCGAATCTGTATTCTTTCGTGGACGGCATTTTCAGTTGTAGTTCGATCATCATGTAGATGTATATGATTGGCAAATTAGGGCTTAAACTGAGTACTATAGTATATGTCTGGATACACATGGCAGGATTATGATTTAACGTTATAAAGCGTTGGTGGATTACTTGAGGGCTTGGTTGTTTTACACCTTTTCTTTTCTGAATTAAAGCTTTTTTGAAGTATTATCGTCCATTGATTTTCTTAGGAGTATTATTATTTATCATGGGATAACTTTTGGATATTATGAAAGCGCTTTTCTGAGAAAAAGTGCATACATTTTTAAATTTTTTTAAAAAAATTAAATTACTTTCGAGCTCTACTTCTGTGCTTGCTTTTGTTCCACTTGGAACAATGTACTGTAGTTTCAAAGAGTAACATATATTTTGTTTTAACCATTCCTATCTATTTGACTGTATTTTCTCTTTTTGTGTTAAGAATGTTCATACGTGTTAGTTGTTATGCAGACTCATTCATTCACTGGGATTTACAACCTTGAAAGCTGAAGAGATTTCTGGTTCTCAGCCTGCTGAAGTACAAAACTTGGGTAAACACTTCAATTTTGAGTAGCATATCTTGTAGGTTTTGGTTTAAAGTTTTATATGCCATGAAACAACAAGTGTAATGATTTAAAAACATTAGTTTTGATATAATTAGTTTTTAAAATTATACTTAAGCATTTGTGGTGTTAATTAGAGCAAATATTTTGTGTGGCATGATGCTGTTAAACTATGTCTTGAGCAAGTAGTTTTGATTGTTATTTCTTATTCTTGTAAACCATGTAGTTTCAGTCAGACATAAGTTGTCAAAAGGTTTACATAGTTTGTCATGTTTCTTCCAGTCCAGGGCAAATGGATTAAATCAGCTAACTGGAATACAATCGTGGATCCCTTAAATGGAGAATCATTTATCAAAGTCTCAGAAGTAGATGAAAGTGGAATCCAGGTATGTATCTTGATTCTTGAATGTATTAAATGTACTTTTTCTTCGTATGCCCTTTAGTTGTCTTATCAGAAGATATATTTTGACTTATTAGTTAATAAATTATGCAGCCTTTTGTAGAGAGCTTGTCCAAGTGTCCAAAACATGGCATGCACAACCCATTTAAATCCCCAGAAAGGTTTGCATCCTGTCCTCTGATTATCAATGTAAATTTAACATTTATCTGATTATATTTTTTTTACAGATACCTTTTGTATGGGGACATATCTGCTAAAGCAGGCCATATGCTTGCTCTTCCTGAGGTACAGCATTTATATTGAGAAAACAAAGCGCATCGATATTTTCCCATTCAGTTTTTCTATGTGACTTGTAAAAAGCTTAATTAGTTTATAATGATTTTGCATTCTTTTTTCTATCTATCCAGGTTTCTGATTTCTTTGCTAAGTTGATACAGAGGGTTGCACCTAAGAGTTACCAGCAGGCTCTTGGTGAAGTGTATGTTACAGGGAAGTTTCTAGAGAACTTCTCTGGTGATCAGGTACATTATTGTTATCTATTCTAGGGTTTGAAATTCTTCTGGAGATATAAATGGTTCATGTAAAATCTTAGTGTTTTATCATCTGCATTTATGTATTTTCAGTCATGGCACATACAATCTTCCTGAATTGATTCCAAATCTCCATGTTTAACATTAACAGGTACGTTTCCTAGCAAGGTCCTTTGGAGTTCCTGGGAATCATCTTGGTCAACAAAGTCATGGTTTCCGCTGGCCTTATGGACCTGTAAGATTTTCTTTTATTTATTTATTTATTCATTTTTTAGAATCTCAAATACATGGGCTTTGAAAATGTAAAATCACAATATTATCTCTTTCAGGTGGCAATCATTACACCTTTTAATTTCCCTTTAGAGATTCCTCTACTCCAATTGATGGGTGCACTTTATATGGGCAACAAGCCTGTTCTTAAGGTTGATAGCAAGGTGGGTCCTATCATTTATGACATATCTTTTGGATAAGTTGACTTATGTATAGGAATGTGCCTTGTCACTTTTTAGCACCCTTTCTTGATATTTATAAACTCTTTTATTTTTTTATGAGGGCTTAGTTTGTATGCAAGTCTAAGCTAACCGAAAACCCTTTTCTGAGTTTAATCTAATACCTTTTTATGAACAAGTTAAATGTTTAATGAATGTCATTATGTATGTTTTTTTTCCTGATATATTGAAGCATTTTTGTAGGTATGCATTGTTATGGAACAAATGCTTCGGTTACTCCATGACTGTGGGATGCCTTTGGATGATGTTGATTTCATCAATTCTGATGGAAAGACAATGAACAAGCTACTGCTAGAGGTTGTTTTTTTATGGTGCACATTCACTGTTATAAGTAGCAGATCTTCCATTTTTTTTGTCTAATAATGTCTTTTGCCCTTGTAAATTTATATAAGTTTGTGACACCATATTCAGGCGAAACCACGGATGACACTCTTCACTGGTAGCTCAAGAATAGCAAACAAGTTGGCTGATGACCTAAATGGTAGAATCAAGTTGGAAGATGCAGGATTTGACTGGAAAATCCTTGGCCCTGATGTTCATGAGGTACATAAACATCTATTTTAAGTATGCATTCTGTGTGACCCTTGTTTTGGGTGCTTATCAGTTGTTTTTTTTTGTGCTTAAATTCACAGCATACTTCATTATAATACAAATATGTCAAAATTAGTTCATAACTGTAGTATTTTTGTTGATTGGCAGGTGGATTATGTTTCATGGGTTTGCGATCAAGATGCATATGCATGCAGTGGTCAAAAGTGTTCAGCACAGTCGATGCTTTTCATGCATGAGGTTAGCTGCCACATATGCTTCTGTTTCATTACTGTATCTTTCCATAAGATTTATCTCTTCTGTCCCGAAATGCAAGGAATAACAATGTACTTTTATTTGTTTGTGTAGTATAGCATCCTATTTTGATTTATTTCTGTTACAGCATTCTACTTAAAAAAAAAAATCTTATCAAGAAACTGTACATGAAAAATCTGTTGTCTACCCTATTATAGAATCGTACCTTTATTTTTATTTTTCTTGGAACTTTTATTTGGGTAGATTTTTTAAGAGTACAATGCTGTAACAGGAAGATCTGAAAGTAGGATGTTACAATAAACAAACCAACAAAAATAAAATTGCTATCTTTTGCATTTAACCCAAATCTTAAAGACAATCTTAGTCATGAGTAAATAATACAAATTAACTAGAAGTTGTTGAATCAATCTTTAAAAAAGAAAGGATAATTTGTGAACATTATTCATACTATTATATTTAGTGTTAGAATTCAAAATATGTGTTTTATTTTATACTGATTATTTGTAGAATTGGAGCAAAACATCACTCTTGCGTCAATTAACTGACCTTGCTGCAAGGAGGAAGCTTGAAGACTTGACCATTGGTCCAGTTCTTACTGTAAGTGTGTGCTTAATCTGTAATGTCAAAAAAGAAAGTTATCCATCTGTATTTAATCGATTATATATATATATATATATATATATATATATATATATATATATATATATATAACCACTACAAAATTGTGATGTTTTGATGTTTGCAGTTCACAACGGAAGCTATGCTAGATCACATGAAGAAATTGCTTGAGATTCCTGGATCAAAGCTACTGTTTGGTGGTGAAGAGTTGCAAAACCATTCTATTCCTTCCGTATATGGAGCTATAAAACCAACAGCTGTATTTGTTCCTATCGAACAAATACTCAAGCCTGAATATTACGACCTCGTTACAAAAGAAATATTTGGACCATTTCAGGTAATATTGTTGTTGTAAATGCATTGGATTGGATTGATAGAAACATTGCTTTTTCTTGATCTCTCTCGTTTGTTAAAAAGACGTGAAAGCCCTTCTCACTTGGTTTTGTTTGTCAGGTTATCACTGAGTACAAAGACAGTCAACTCCCACTGGTGTTGGATGTCCTTGAAAAGATGCATGCACATTTAACAGCTGCTGTCGTTTCAAATGATCCATTGTTTATTCAGGTTTCATTCATGGAATTTTCGTTCTGAAATTGCTTTTATTATATATATTTTTTATATGGCAATGTATTGTTTAATCTGATTCTGATGATGAGTTGTTGAACTTGGTTTCCAGGAGGTGATTGGGAAAACAGTGAATGGAACCACTTATGCTGGACTTAGAGCAAGGACAACAGGGGCACCACAGAATCACTGGTGAGTGGAGTAGAAATAAATGGAATTTCCTTTCCTTTTATAAAACAAAACAAAACAAAACAAAACAAAACAAAACAAAACAATGTGTGTTGTGTTCATCAGGTTTGGGCCAGCTGGAGATCCAAGAGGAGCAGGAATAGGGACTCCTGAAGCTATAAAACTCGTCTGGTCGTGTCACAGAGAGGTCATATACGACGTTGGTCCGGTCCCACATAAATGGCAAGTCCCACCCTCCACTTGAGAAAAGACATCAATACCCCTGTGCATTGCATTGCATTCAGTGATGACCCAAGTTGACCACACCTTGACTTGTAAAAGTAGGTAGTTTTCAAGGCATCAGATATGTATGTAAGAGTCTTTTGCAGACGTCTAAAGTATTGGGAATTTGGGATTGTATCATGGACATGGTAGTAGTATGTAAGCAAACATGAAGGCATCCTGATAATAAAACATCACCCACCCTCATTCTATTTCTATCTGTATTCTCATTGTTGATTTTGATTACATGACCAGATGCATTTGTAGTGCTATTATCTATAATCAGTGTCCTGTATGGGAAAACTAGCTGGGAGCTGATAGTATACATGTTGATTTTGGTTTAAAGCAAGTACATCAGAATCCATGATCAAGCAACAAACCCGTGCACATGAGATTTTAAAAGTATGCATAATTGGTTGTTGGATCAATACAATATATTCTCTCATTGCATCACATCTACTTGAAACTATTAGTCAAGCATCTCATATACATTCTATCAGTTCAAAAAAATATTCATATTACTATGATTGTTTGTCTATATCAACCGGTCTCACAACCAACATGGAAAAGATAAATCACAATGTTTTTGAAACAAAGAACATGATGCCTAAAGTGAACCTAATATATTGTTTATAATTCTCATCTCTCTAATGACCATTAAGATAGTAATAAAAAACCATTCTAATGGTTATTCAAATAGTAATATGGTGAGAATTAATATTACTAAATCTTTTTATGGCGAGAATTATTTTTTAAATCTTCTGCATATCAATTAAATTTACATAAATTAGTTGATGACTTCAAATATTTTTGTTAAAGATAAAATATAAGAATACATTAATGATCAATGTTAGTAAATAATGAAAGCTAATGTAACATCAAAACTAAAAGTTATCATATAAAATATTATATGTTTCAGTTTGTTATCAGTTTTTTTATCAATTCTGCACCATAATTTTTTTTTTTTTTTTTCTAATTTATCTACAAAAATTGACAAAATGGTAACACATAAGATGTAAATACTGAATACATGATAAAATGATAAAAATAAAATAAAAAATAAATATGGACGTAAACTAAATCGTAGCCCTAACCTAACTCCTAAGGCCCAACTGGAGCCCTGCCCATATTTCACGTTAACGTTGCTTACGTGCTTCTTCTCACAAAGTGAAAGTCTCCACTCTCAGAGCCCAAAGCAGAGCATTCCTTTACGTTGTAGGCTTCAAAACCTTCTCCACAGTCGCCGACTCTCCGCAGCTCCGCCGTCCATAAACCCTTCTTTGTCTCAAGGTTTGTGTCTCTACGACCTTTATTCACGATGTCTATGCTCGAACTAATTACCAAAGCGTCAGCTGCACACGAACAGCTACCTTCAGATTCACAATACCCGATAGTTCTTAATCCAGACCCTATTCTGCTCAACTTGAAACCTCAAACCCAAGAATCGAATGACGCTTCGTTCGTTAAACGTGTTGAAGGATGGAAATTTTCTCAAACGGATACGGAGATTATAGAGTTAGGGCAAAACTTCTACAAGAAGTTGAAAATTAAGCTAAAAAACCTGAAGTCGTTCACTAAGGTTGAGTTCATTAGCATGTTGACTTCGTATCTGAAGAAGAACAGCGAGAAACTCGGAATTTCAGTAGTGATTGAACAGAAGGACGAGAGTTATACCAAGGCGCTTGTAGTTTCAGTAGCGATTGAACAGAAGGGCGAGGGTTATATTAAGGCGCTTATACAAAAAATAGGTTTTTTAATGGGTGAAGCTGTTGTAGGTTTAGTATTGGAGGCTTGTTTTGCATTCGAAATTTGGGAGATATTAGAAACTCTGATCGTTGGTGGTCTTATTGAGGGTTCGTGTTCTAGGAAGTTGGTTCATAATTTGATTGAGAAAAAGAGATCTGATTTGGTTTGTTTGTGTGTCAAGCATGTCTCTGATCTTCAATTTTCTGACATCCTTTCCGTTTTGAAGTTCTTCCTTTCTCCACCTAAAGATGCTTACGACACCATGGCTTTCATAAGGAAAGAATGGGAGACCGAAGCTTTGTCCGCCATTGAAATGGCAAAAGACAAAACCCTTGCTGAAAAGACATTCAACTTGGCAAAAGATGCTGCTATTTTACTCATGATGGCTCATGATGAGTTTACAACCAGTGAATTGTGCTTGCATTATCTTCTTTCATCCCCAAATCTTGATGATGTAATATTCTCAGCTTGTATCGGTAACTTAAATGGTTCAGAGATTATGGGTTTTGTGCGTTATTTGAAGAAATGGTTGAAGAAGTATCAAAAGTTCCCACAAGCATCTTCTTCTTCAATTCCTAAAGCTTCATCTTTACATTGGCTTAAAGCTTTTGATTCAGTTCCTTCACTTGAAAATGTTACCAAGTGCTTTGGGTTTGTTCTTGATGAACATTTCTCTTCATTGGTATTGCACCCGGAGTTTTGCGAGGAGGTGAAATCAATAGAATTGGTTGTGAATTCTTTGGCCTCAGAAGCAAGGATTTGTTGCAAGTTGGCAAATTTGAGTAAATTGATGTTGAAGGTGCGTAATATTAATTTTCTTGCATTGAAATTGTTCTTTTCATTCACAAATCATATTCTCGTAAAGCAATGCACTTTTTAATCCATTTATGGTTAGGTTTGATGTTTCTTGTATTATGATAACCAATTTGCAGATATGAACCATTAGGTTTCTGAAGCAAGTATCATCACAACAAACAGGAGGGTATAAACGTCAGATGGAGCTATTTTGTGTTTTGGCCATACAACTTTTTTGTTTGTATTAGTGAATTTTGATGAGAGTTTAGAGTCACAGAATGTAAAATGGAGAACACAATCGATTTTTTTGTCAAATTTCTAGATTTGTATCGAGGATTTTTCAAAATTGAAACGTTCTTTCCTTGCCTTTCTTTGTTAACAAATTCTGATATGAACCCAAAATTTGACCTATTAAACCTGCTACAGGAGGTAATCCAGGTATTTTCTGAACATTTAAAGTTATTTGTTACCTTTTGATATATATATATTTCTTTCCCCCATCTTTTTTTTTAGCATTATAGATAGTTTGTTATCCTGACATCGACCCTTGAACTGAAGACTAGTGGTGTGCTTGAAATTGTATTGACATAAGTTTCGGCAACAAACATATGATTATTTAACAAAAAAGTTGTTAATATTTTTCCTGTCTAAAAGAAAGCTTCATGATTTATTAGTACAACCCTCCTTTAGAATTTCATTTATTCCATTTTCAATATTATGACGATTACCTTATGTTGGTATGAGATCAATACCAAGTTTTGCTACCATCAAGGCTTAAATCATCATTTAAAAATTCTAGAAACCAGATCCACTTTTGCTTGTTTTCCACATCCAATAGCTTGGTTATTTTGCCTTTCTATCTACTGTTGTCGACGTATCACCCTTCCCTTTCCTTTTTGGAAAACATCCATCCAGACCAATTACTCTTCTACCCATTTCTTTCCATCTAGATGTATTACACCAACCTTGCAAGTATACCAACGGTCTAATCTTAACAACTCATGGGCATACTCTTATATCCTTGCATAATGTTAACTTTCCTTCTATCAACTATTTGGCCTATAGACACATCACACCTAAACTTTTGTTTGATATATGCAATCATCTACCTAAGTTTAATCTAAGGTTTATTTTCAATTAGACGAATCTTCGCGCATTGCGCAAGAATATATATTTATATTGTATTTTTAACGGCAAACACACATCTACATAATTATTTAATCCTTCTCCTAATTTTGTAAGTTGTGATTTAATATTTATAAATGAAAAAACAATGATAATAAATGTATATAAAACATATATTGATTTCTATATATAACGAATAACAAATAGTATAAAAAATAAATATTTGATGATTTTATTGATCATTTTAAGGTTTGTAAACTGTATATAAATTGTATGTTTAATTTATGTATTTAATGAGTAACAAATATATGAAATACATAAATACTACAACTTTTAATAACATAAAAACACTACAATGTCTACTATAACATTGTAACAAAAAAAAACCTTATTAAACACTCATAAATCATACAAAAAATATATAGAAGACATACACGCTACTAAAATAATCATATCGCATTTATTAACTTTGAAATAATTATATTTATATGAAGTTTATATAAAAACTTATTATATCATGTTTGATGCCTTTAAGGCTTACAACAAAAAATTATTTATAACATTAAACTATTTATAAAAGAATACTTATTGTCAAAGAAAAATCCGCATAGTAATAACCATGATGTGACAAAACATTATTTTTTTCAACTTTTCATATTATAATTAAAAATATCTTAAAAAACGTGATTGTTTGCGAAAAAACTTATTTACATATTACTAATATGGATACAATGTATATAAATGAGAGAAAAATAAAAAGTCATTATTAATTACTAACCATAAGTTACAAAAACTTTTGAGTTGAAGTGATTAAGTATACACTAATTAGAAAAGCCTTTTGTTGTTGTGAAAATTTCAAATGAATTTGATTTAAGTAAATTTCTCGTGTTGAGCAGAGTATATATATATATATATATATATATATATATATATATATATATATATATATATATATATATCATTACTGTATATAAAAGCGTTGTTCTTGTGGTGTCTTCTGCATCAATTTTAGAGGGTTCTTATGACGCAACGTAACCTCTCTGTTTTTGAACGACGCCATAGACATCCAAACTTATTCCCACCGCCTATGTTAACTATGATGCATCTATTTATTAGTTAGAATTTTTTACTTTGAGCGAAGAGTTGAGATGGATTTGGAATAGGTGAAGTGCGAATAGACACACCTTTTTTTTGAGATGGTAGTTAGATTCGGATTTGGTGTCGATTCCGCTCTATATAATGCGAACCCTAATCGTGAATTTACATCTGAACGTTTGATCTATCGACAACCCCAACATTTTGCCGCCTCCGAGAGTCAGACTCCTACCTCCCCCGTTTGCGATCCCAAATTTACTAATCATGAATTTTGTTTTTAAGGAGGCTAATTAACCCTTGTGTCATCGACTTCTCCTTGGTAATCTCTCATTCTTCACCAAAAACTTAAAGCAACCCACCATCTTTTTCTTTGGACTCTTGGTCTGTTTTGTTTTTCAAGATGCTTCACCTGTACGATCTCTCTCTCTCTCTCTCTCTCTCTCATACACACACTCTTTCTCTGTAGAAGTCACTCCGTGTCTGATTTGGAGGTCAATTTTGTTTTCGTGATTTTGACTTAAAACTCTTAGCTGGATTTTTTCCTTTTCAGGCCACCAATACTTCGTGAAATGCAGTAGGATGAGACAATAAACCACTATTAAATTCTTCAAACTAGACCAATAACCAATATTGTTAACAGGTTCTTGATATTTAAGTCATTAATTCTTAAACCAATTAGAAGAATAACAAGATCCTTACCTATTATCCAAGTAATCCCTGTTTTAATATATAATGGATCCGTGTTTTAAAAATCAATGATACTATATCTCTATTTATGTATTAATGATCATTTTTTTATTGTTATTACAATTTTAAATCTCTTTAATTAATTTTGTAGTTTTTTGGGTTTCTTTTGTCATGATTAAGCCTATAATTAGGATCTCGTTTGCGCTCCTTGTTTCTAGGGTTGTAATTCAATTTATTTACATTGATACTTTGTGTATTCTCCTCTTACATCCTAATTCTTCCATAAGTACACTTCTTCATGCAGTTTCGTTGGATAATAAACCTGATCAAGTTCCCCTTGTAAGTCTAATTTCGTATATTTATCGATTAGATCAAGGATGCAATTTAATAATCCATTATTTTGTAGATGTCATCTATCATATAATCATCAATTTTATTCTCCAAGACAATTACTTCTCAAGCCTATCAGGATTAAACAGTGAAAAACTAGGCTGTGAAGGCATGAATTCTAGGAACAAAAACAGCAAAATGGCAGCAACTCTTTGATAGCATCACCAAGTGATCTGATTGGACTTTTTCCATGTCTGTTATTTTGTAGAGATAGCAATCTACTTAGGTTGTAATTTCAAATTTTTAACATTGCACTATTGATGCATCCTGGGATGATCATGAGCATTATGACTTCACTTTAACGACTTCTAATTTCCGATCTTCAAGGGTAAAATAATTAGTGAACATCACTTGTTAACTATCCATCGGTCTTCGAGGGTAAAATGGTCCGGGTTACTTAATAGTGGCAAGACCTTTAGATGTACTCCAAAATGCTAATAGTAATAAGAAAGTTGATCTTCATGAAGACAAAGTCGATGTGTCAAGACTTGAAGCTTAAAAAATCTGCATATAACTTTGAAAAAACAGCAAGAGATAACAGTGTAGGTTTTTCTTTTTCAGTCATTGTAAAATGAGAGCAAATGTGTTTGTTCAAGAATCACACAATGGAAGGAAATACCCAAATTACCTGTCATGGGTCGTGCTTAGCACGAGCCTTTTTTATTTGGAACTAAGTTGAGTTCTTTTTGTAATTTCTCTCAATCGTTCCATTTTTGCCACTGATTTTACTAAATGGTTTAGTTTTTTCTAAAACAATCTTACAATTGGCAAGGGTTGAAGAAGAAGGTTGTCGTTGGTCAGACTAGAGAAAAATGTAGGGTTTTTTGCAACTAAGTTGAATGGAGTAATCAGAGCTTATTGCTTACCCTTGGCATGGTATCAGTTCCATCTCCATCTCTATGTTTGTTTGCCACTATATGATGTACCCCACACCATAGTTGAACATTTCTACAAGTTTTCATCTTGTTGGAATATAGGATAGTTAATGCACTTAATTGTTGAACACGACTCTTTTATATGGGAAACAACAAGATTTTTATTAAGACACTTAAGGAGAACTTACACTTTGTGAGACTACTACACACTTTGCTTTCTTTGAGGCTTTCTTGGATACTTAGATGTTGGATTGTTTGGAGCAAATGAGCTCCACACCTATTTATAGGTGTTTCCACCTCCTTATAGGAAGTTTCTAGGTCTACATACATTCATGGCTATTCTAGAACTATCTACCATATTCTATATCTATTACAAACTTTTATATGTTTCTAGAATGTTCTATAATGTCCTAGATAAGTATAGACATTCTTGTGTCTTCCATAGTGTTCTAGAATGTTCAATAGCCTTCCAGGGTCTTCCATCTCGTTCTAGAGTATTCTAGAATCTTTCGGCATCTTCAACACTCCTCCATCGTATTCCATAATGTTCTAGAATCTTCCAGATCATTCTAGAACATGCTAACTTCTTCTAGACAATAACATGATTCTATTGGGCTAGTGATGACCTTCAACACTCCCCCTCAGCACTAGCCCCTATTCGTTGTACCATGTTGAGCTGATAATTAAAGCCCTCATATTTGTCAGTACTTAACCCTTTATGAACTCCATTTGCTACTTGGTCGTTAGTCTTGATATGTTTCATATTGACTTCTTCCTTGAGAACTTTTTCTCTTCCACATGTTTTGTTTTTCCTTAGTTGTTGCAGTCGTTGCTTCGTATATTGTTTACATAGCTGACAATGACATTCGTGGTTGCCTTTTGTTGCACCATTCCTTTCGTTGCACCATAATTTTGAACTGTCTTGTGTAGTTTCTTATGCCTCCCTTTGAGAAACTTGTAAGCATGTGAGTTGTCCCTTTTACAAGCCTTGGAAAATTCCCACAATATTAACATGTTATGACGTGATCCCTTATTGATCTGCTCATCTCGTTTAGATGTTGCTCTGTTGAGAAATTCTACTTTGCTCTTATGAATTAATGTGTTTTTCTTCTTTTCCGCCTTATCCAGTTTCTCCATCACATGTTCCATTTTTCGTCTAAGATGAGACTTTTTATGCAACTCTGGTGATGTCATGTTATTAATCTCCTTTGGCGCATCCATCTTCGAATGAACATCTTCCTCCTTCAAGGTTGTCATAAACTTTGTCTCGCTCTTCTTGATACCTTTGTCGAGTTTCATAGTTGATAGCATTCGGGATCCAATCATA